CCTCTATCAGAGACATTTGCTGTAAAGATTGTTTCCTAGCTTTCTGCTTTCCTTCTAATCTATTTGCATTGGTTCTGTTTGTGCAAAAGCTTTATAATTTGATGTAATCAAAGTTATCTATTTTATATTTTGTAATGCTCTTTATCTCTTGTTTGGTCATGAACCTGTAACTCACTTAACTTCTCCTTTAAGAATATGGATGCTATACCACTTAGTGCATATATGTTTAGTATTGACATTACTTTCTTGTCTATGGTACCTTTTAGCATGATATAGTTTCCTTCCTGGTCTCTTTTAATTAGGTCTGTTTTTGCTTTTGTTTTGTCTGAGCTCAGGATTGCTACTCCTGCTTTTTTTTTTTAACTGCAGCAGAAGCATGATATATTCTGCTCCAGCCTCTTACCTTTACTCTTTGTGTGTGTCTCTCTGCTTCAAGTGTGTTTCTTATAAACAACATATTGTAGGATTTTGGCTTTTAATCCACTCTGCTATCTGCTTCTGTTTTTTGGGAGAGTTCATTCCATTTACATTTATAGTCATGATTACTAACTGTGTATTTCCCTCTGTCCTATTTTTACTCCTCTTTGTTTTCTCTCTCCTTTCACCTTTTCCTTCTCTTTTGCTTGTGTCTATCGCCTCCCCCAGTCTACCTTCTTCTGTCAGTCCTCCTCCCCCTCCTCCACTGTTACCTAATCTCATTCCCTCCTACTTTCTTGTTGGGTAAGATACATTTCTATATTCAACTAATTGTATATATTATTCCCTCTTTGAGCCAATATTGATGACAGTAAGGTTCAAGTGATGCCCATCGCCTACCCTCCCATCTTTCCCACCACTACAATAGATTTTTCACACCTCTTCATGTGAAATAATTTACCCCATTCTACCTCTCCCTTCTTTCTGCACCCAGTGTACTCCTCTTTCTCATCCCTCAATTTTTTTTTAGTGTCATTTCCTCAAATTTACATTATACCCATAGCCTTTGTCTTTGTATATTCCTTCTAGCTTTACTATTAATGGTACAATTCCCATGTAGGGATCTAAACAGTTCATCTCCATTGAATTCCTTATGTTTTCTTTTCTCTTTTTACCTGTTTAGGCTCCTCTGGGGTCTTGACATTAGAGATCAAATTATTTTTTTCAGTTCTGGTCTTCTCCTTATGAAAGCTTGAAATCCTTCTATTCATTGAATGATCATTTTTTCCCTTGAAGTAGTATGCTTAATTTCACTGGATAGGTGATTCTTGATTATAGTCCTAGCTCCTTTGCCTTCCAGAATATCATGTTCCCTTACCTCCAAACCTTTAATGTTGCAACTGCTAAGTCCTGTGTAATTCTGATTGAGGATCCCCGATATTTGAATTGTTTCTTTCTGGCCACTTGCAGTATTTTTCCTTTCACCTGATAGTTCTGTAATTTGACTATAATATTCCTTGGAGTTTCTATTTTGGGATCTCTTTCCTGAAGTGATTGGTGGATTCTTTCAATGCCTATTTTGCCCTATGGTTCCAGGACATCAATTTTCCTTGATAATTTCTCAAAAGACGCCATCCAGCTCCTCCTTTTGTCTATGGCTTTCAGGATTCTGACATTGTCTCTCCTGGATCTATTTTCCAAGTCGGTTGTTATTCCCATGAGTTATTTTACATGTTCTTCTATTTTTACATTCTTCTGAATTTGTTTGATTGATTCTTGATGTCTCATAGAATCATTAGCTTCCACTTGCCCAATTCAGACTTTTAAGGTGTCATTTTCCTCAGTTAGCTTTTGTACTTCCTTTTCCATTTGGCCAATTCTACTTTTTAAGCAGTTGTTTTCTTTTTCCAAGCTGCTGACTCTTTTTTCATAATTCTCTTGCATCACGCTCATTTCTTTTCCCAATTTTTCTTCTACTTCTCTTCTATGATTTTTAAGCTCCTTTTTGAGCTCTTCCAAGAGTTCTTTATGGGCTTGAGACCACTTCCCATTTTTCTTTGGGAGTTTACCCATAGGTGTTTTGACATTGTTGTCCTCTTCTGAGTTTGTGTCTTGGTTTTCCCTGTCACCATAATAACTTTCTATGGGCAGATTCTTTTTTTTTTGTTTTTTGCTTATCTTTTTTGGACTTTTTTTTTTCTTTTAAATTTGACTTCTGCTTCCAGGATGGAAGGGGCACTGTCTCAGGCTTCTTGTGCCAGAGGCTGTTTACCTGGTCCTGCACTGATGTTGCCCTGAGGGCCATGGGGGACCCTCATGCCTGGTGCTGCACTGAGGGGAGAGGGTGGGGAGTGGTTAGTGCTGCTGCAGGCTATAGGGGTCTGTCAGCTTACCTGGTGCTGAGCTGGGGTCCTAGTGCTGGTGTCTGGCTTGTGCTGAGGCCCAGTGGGGTGTTTCTGCATTTCCCTGGGGCTACACTGAAGCAACTGTAGTGGTCAGGCTGCTAGAGGCTACCTGTTTGCCCAGGGTTATGTTGAAGCACATGGAGGTCTGGCAGCTTGGGACTATGGTGAAGCACAATGTGGTTATCAGATCTGGAGTCTGCCTGTTCCCCAGGCTATGCTTGGGCACATGGGGTGTGTGCTGGCATTGGCATTTGCCTGCTCCACTGCACTGGGGCTCAGGAGCTCCAGCCCTGCTGCTGGATTTTGGGGATGTTTCCTGTCCTGGACTGTGTTCCCCTTTTACCCAAGTGAGACAGACCTTTTTTTCTGATCTTCTAAGTTTTTTGAGCTAAAAGATTGCTTCCCCCAGTCTTTGCTGGTTCTGCTGTTCCAGGATTTGTTTTGGGGGTACTATTTTATAGTTGTTTGGAGATGAATATGGGAGAGTTATGGCGATTTACTGCTTACTCTGACATCTTGGCTCCCAGAAGTCTTAAATATGTGCTTTTGATCATATTAAAGATTGGTACCTGACATGGCCGCTGCAGTGGTGACATGAGACCAGCTCAATACTCTTAACCCGGAGGCACATTGATGAGGCGGGAGACAGCAAGATGGCAAAAGCTCCGTTTATTAAGTGCTAGTAGCTTTCTTTTATATCCTTAGTAACACCTGATCAAAGCATGATCTCCATGTGATAGCCAATCACCAAGTCTGCTAGACACCTGCAGCCCTCGTGTCAGGGGTATGAGTAGGACTTTTCTCCCAATGAGAGGAGAGCCGAGCCAACTGTGGAAGCTGCGTGTCAGCAAAGGACAGGTCTTGTGAGACTTCCTTGTTTTTCCCACGCAACAGGTTGTGGCCCTCAGCTTCTGCTGAGAGAAGCTAGAACTCCCATGAGAAAATTACCCTAACAGGTACCTTCATGATTCAACTTTTTTTAGGGTGTTTAATAAATGAATATTACATTTTATCAAAGTCTGTTTCTGCATCTATTAAAATAATCGTGTAGTTTCTATTGTATCTGTTGTTTTTATGATTAATTGTGCTAATTATTTTCAAAATTTTAAACCATCTTTGCATCCCTGTTGTATATCCCATTTGGTCATATTGAAATGTCTTCTGGGTATATTTTTCCCCTTCCCTCAGTTTTCTCTTGACAGCAGAATTAGGAACTTTAAAGAGCTCTGTAGAATTAATTGGAGAAAGAGGTGGGGATGCTGTTGGGGGATAAGGCCTTCTTCCCTTTTTCCTGTCCTATTTGAGTTGGGACCTGTACATGACTTTACCTACCCCTGTTCTGAATACATCGGCCTCACAAATCAAATTGTCTTGAAAAGACTATTAGATGAACTTAAGCCTCAGGTTTTAAAAATGTATCTTTCAATTAATATGACTATGCATTACTTATTTATACAAGATGACCTTTTGTCTTAGTGCTGTTTTAAGCTATTAAATCTTAAAACAACTGTAAGACTTTTGGGACACCCTTTATATAAACTCTTTGTACTCAGCTTTTAACAAGGGAGTAGAAAGATAGGTGTGTGGTTTGGCGGGTCCATTAATCTTAAAGGAATAGTGAGATCTATGTGTTTTTTAAAAACTCAAAGTATCTGCTGATTTTCTTCACTTTAGCAGATGAGCAGATAAAATGGTGGTTATGTATGATTTTTTCCATGGGTTTGGAAGATTGAGCTTATTCCTGTCTCTGGCTTTTTAATTTTTTTTTGAATTAGATTTTCTGTCTTGCCTTTTTGATTATGTTTATTGCTCTACGTCTTAGTATTACAAAAGGTCAAAATTTCTGGGGAATTCCTACACATTTGCATTTGGTTTCAGCCTGAATTTCCTGATATCACTTGGGGAAGATGTAATAGGCCTGAGCACTCTTTTTAAGTCTTCCCCTCTCTCCTCCCCATTAGCTGCACTATTTCACCTAGGCAAGAACACTCATCTAAATGGAGCACCTGGTGGAGGTGTTATTCCTCAAGCAGCAGAGAGTCCTCCTGAGTAGACACAGGGCTGCAAGCCAGAGAAGCAGGTGTCCTTACTGTGTAACCTTGAGTCTGGCTTTTTACTTCTCTTCCTCTGTTTCCTTGTTAGTGAGATGGAGGTAAAATCCATCCTTGTAGACAGGCTCCTTGGAAGGGAATAATCTATAAATGATTACAAAAGGAACTCTGTTGTAAATTCTGGATGATAATGCTGATGAGTATGTTTTCACTGCAACATTGCAATGGTAAAGAGGAAGAATCTTCCTTATCATCAGTGCTTTGTCTTCATTTGGGAACACCCCATCACTGAACTATAAAATATATTGATGGGCTTGACTGAAGGCTATAATCCAAATCTCTCAACCCTTTTGTGCCCATGTGTTCCTTGAATTATATCTATTTCCCATCAGCTCTTCTTTGATACTAGGGTCTGGGAATAAAAATCTTACTCATATTATTTTTCTTTCCATATCTCAGCACAATAAACCTGAAGATGCTGGACCAGAGAAGTTCTGAGTCTGGCCATATCATCCTTTTTTTTTTTTTTTGGTCTTTTAGTGGAAGGGATGTTCAAGGCCCACTAATCCATTAAGTGCCCATAGGGTGTCGTGGAGGTAAAATAAATGGTGGTGTCCTTGTTTTATAGATTGCAGCCATTTACTATTTTGTTGTGGGTGATGTTCTTGAGGAATCCAAGCAGCTTCTCCTTCATTCGGTAACTGAGAGCTCACATCCAATCCATACAGTGTCCTTCAATGCCCGAGGAGAAGACACCATCACTTTCTTAAAGGAACTGAGCACTTCAACCAGGGGCAGGTAGGGGGAAAATATTCATCTGAGCAAAAGAGAAATGACCTGTGTACTTCTGAGTGGTGAGAGTATGTCTGGGATTTCTTATATTACATATTTCCTGAGTAGCAGCATGACATAGTAGAGGACTGACTTTATAGTAAAAAATTCTGTTGGATCCAAAAAAAGAAACCCAATCCCATTTATGAATCACCTACTATGTGTAAAACACTGTGCTGTATGGTGGGTATACAAAGAAAAAATAAACAAAAATTATCTGTGAACCCTATAAGTCACTAGGTTAGGCCTGTGATCTGATAGGGCAAGCTTAAATACCCAGGGTCATAGTAATTCTAGCCTTTGAAAGTGAACTTATGAAATACACAAACGGCTATACTCCTAGTTAAAGAGGAAAAACTCTCCAGCAGTGAGCTAGAGGGTTGGGAGTTCAAGCCATGAATAAGGAAAGGTTATACATGGTGTCCTGAGCTATCCCTTGCCCTCATATGATGAAAAAGGGACACAAAGAAAAGCAAAGGAGAGAGTCAACTGTTGGTTTGTTGTTTTGTTTTGTTTTTGAGAAATAAGGTGATCTCAGTCAGATGCAATCTTTAACAGAATAAAAGTTGTACATAGAAAACGGTTCCAATTACACCCAACTGAAGAAAGTCAGGGGAAAGATATCTGGGTTGGTGTTTTTTTTTTTGTTTGTTTGTTTGTTTGGTTTTTTTTGGTGTATGGTGTTTGTTTCAGTGCTCCAGCTGCCTGAGTGAGTACCCTAGATTATAACCAGTGTGTGTGTGTTTGTGTGTGTGTGTGTGTGTGTGTGTGTGTGTGTGTAGGGTGGTGACCATGAAGATTATAAATATCCACATGGGAGTGTTTAGATCTTCTCTGGCTCATAGGGAAGCATGAATAAATATGTCTAGTCCTCTGTCTCCTCTTCTCTAGGAGAGAATGGGATTCTGCCCAGGAGAGTAAGCAGAAGATTGGTGCCTTAGGCTGACCACTCTGCTGTCTTCCAAGAAATAATACCAGACCAGAATTATATCTTATCTGCCCTGTTCCCCCCCTCCCCGAAATATTGTTAGTTTAGGAGAAATAATTATGAGGCTAAAGCTGAGCTTCTGCTCACTATCCTTTAATGGGGAAAGAGTGCCCCAAACTCCATTTATATCTGAGACTTGGCGCCCTTTCAACCAAATGGCAGTTCCACAAAGACGCTATGTAGCAAATAGTAAATAAACCCCTTTAAACACCTTTATATTCCTATGAAAAGAACATGCTAGCTTTAATTTGGTTTAATGTTAAGCACACTTCTGCTTTTCTAGATTTCATGCATTTGCTGCAAGAGTAGAGCCTATGGGAATTCACGAGTCTCCCTCAGGGGACCGAAACATTTCTTTTTCTTCAAATTTAAGGAAACTGAAAGGAAGAGTACCTCCAGGTATTTAGAACCCAAAGCTGTTTTATGTCACTAAGAGCTTTAGATAAAAATGACTCACATTTAATTACTTTAATTTATTTTTCAATTTTAATTTAATGAAAATAGTAATTACTCACAAAAATAACACAAATAATTAAGATGTACAAAAAAATAAAGCATGGCGTAGTGGTCATTCTTTTGTTTTTTTTTAAGGCAGTTTGGGTTAAGTGACTTGCCCAGGGTCACACAGCTAGTAAGTGTCAAGTGTTTCGTCTGAGGCTGGATTTGAACTCAGGTCTTCCTGACTTTAGGGCCCGGGCTCTATCCACTGCGCTGCCTAGCTGCCCCTATAGTGGTCATTCTGATACATACCAGTTGTATGACCATGGGCAACTTTTCAGTGCCCTGGAAAGTTACACCAACGCTATTACTTCTGGTGAGTTGCTGATCTGTATTCATGGAGGGAATTTTTGCCTTAGAAGTTCTCTATGCTGATGAAACCATAGGACACAAGACACATAAAATGTTTACAAAAGGGGAGCTAGATGATGCAGTAGAGAGGGTGTTGGGCCTGGAATCATGAAGACCTGAGTTCAAATATGACCTAAGACACTTACAAGCTGTGTGATCCTGGGCAAGTCACTTAACTTCTCTTTGCCTCAATTTCCTCAACTACAAAAAACAATAGCACCTACATCCAGGATTGTCTTGAGGATCAAATGAGATAATATTTGTCAAGTGCTTAGTATAGTGTCTGGCAACATAGTAATAAATACTTAATTCCTTCCTTTCTTTTCTTACAACTGTGGGTGCCAAGCAGTATAAATATTATTGCTGTTTATACAGGTGGGAAAGCTGATGCTCAGAGAGATTGTGACTTTTCCAAAGTCATAGAGTAGTATGAGGTCCAGGGTTCAAACCCAAGTCACTTTTGATGGCAAGGCCAAAACACAAAGCATTTGACCCTGCTGCCTATAGTGATTTTCATTTACCTTTGACAAGAGACCAGGCATATCTTCCTAGCCAGGAACTGTGTGTACCTACTGTAAGCTTGTGTGGCACGAAGAGTCAGCACTGACTAATATGAAATAGCCATCATGCATTTGTCAACTTTATGAATAGATTGTTGTCCAGGGCAAGTAACCAGTTATATAAAAGTTCCAAGAGTACTATAATTTAGTGGAGTGAGTCACAGGATTTGTTCTTGAGCTATTAATGGCTCATATTCATATGATCTACCAACAATAATAGTAGTAATAATGATGATATATAGCTTTCTCTGTAATGTTGACATATTACAGTCCTGATAAGATATGATTGGTGGTGGTCAGAGACTTCTACTACTCATCCAGCCACCATTACCTTTGTCACAGGCATTATTTCTTTTCACATGAAGTATGAGCATGAAGGTGGAAGATGGCATTCCACCCTGAAGAGTTGTAGCAAGTGAAACATTACTGATGATAGTAGCCTACCTTCTTATTTTGAGGAGGTTATAAGGGAATAGGTGTGTTGCACATAGATGCAAAATAAATGAGACAAACTGTAAGAGAGGAAACAACATAAGAGAGGAAACTGTAAAGTCACTCATTAAACTATCAAGTTAGGGTAGGAATCATTTTGCTTATAAAAATTATCTAACACCAAAGATGAAACTTATAGGATATTATTGGACTATGGACTGGAAGGGACCTCAAAGGTCATCTAGTTAACAGGTTCTTAATCTGGGGTCTCTAAACTTGTTTTTTTTTTTAACATTTTGATAAGTATATTTTAATATAACTGATTTCCTTTCTTATCCTATGTAGTTTATTTTGTACATTTAAGAACAGTATTCTGAGAAAAGGTACACAGACTTCACCTGACTGCCAAAAGGGTTCATGACAAAAAAAAAGGATAAAAATCCTTGATCTTGTCCAGCCCTCTCATTTTACTGAATAGAAAACTGAGACCCAGAGAGTAGGAGTGACTTGGCCATGGTTAAACAAGTTATAAATAGTATGGCAGATACTGAATAAAATAGAGCATTCAGAAAGAGGGAAAACTGTTAGATCTCTTTGAGCACCTAGTAAAGCTAGAAATTTTAGCTACTTCTCTCTCCCCAGAATAAATTGTAGTGAAGTCCCCCTTATTTTTTTAAGTTGCACAATATATTCCTAGCCACTGCATAATATAGTGGGCTATCTAAGAATATATTTAACTGTGAATAAATTGCCATACACATTCATTTCAAAAAAGGTTCTTTTTTAATGATATTTCTTTAAAAAGTTGTTTTTGTATTCCTTCCTTTCCTTTCCTCTCCTCTTCTCTCCTCTCTCTTTCTTTCTCTCTATTTCTTTCTTTCTCTCTTTCTTTCTCTCTTTCTTTCTCTCTCTCTTTCTCTCTCTCTTTCTCTCTCTCTTTCTCTCTTTTTCCTTTCTTTCCTTCTTTCTCTTTCACTCATTAAAAAAAATTTTTCTTTTTGAGTTCCAAATTCCCTCTTTCTCTCCGGTCTATTTTCGACCAATTGAGAAGGCAAGCAATATGTTAACCATTATACATGTGAAGTCATGCAAAACATATTTTCATATTAGACATGTTTTAATGGTATTTATGAAGGGGTAGAAGTTTTTTTTTTGAATTGGAAGATTTCTTTAAAGGAGTCAGCCCAGTGAGATTAAAAGCAACAAGGCTTTTATTATGGGTGGAGAAGGTTAGAAATCTAACCAAAGCTGCATAAGGAATGAGGGTGTAGGACAGGAGTGGGGAACCTGCAGCCTGGAGGCCACATGTGGCCCTCTAGGTCCTCAAGTGGGGCCCTTTGACTGAATCCAAACTTCACAGAACAAATCCTTTTATTAAGGGGATTTTATTAAGGGGATTACTAAGGAGATTTGTTCTATAAAGTTTAGGTTCAGGGAAAGGGCCCCACTTGAGGACCTAGAGGGCCACATGTGGCCTTGAGGTAGCAGGTTCCCCATCCTGGTTGTACATGAAAGGGATTCAGGACAAATGCTATATCCAGATCTCGGGATAGCGGGAGATCACTATGCCCAGGTGGCAGTCACAGGAGGGCACAAGCTCTATAAACAAGCATCTTGGTCAATGGAGGGGTATTGATTGTAAGGCTTAAGGATGTGATGAATTTTAAGCCATAGCAGGAGGAAGTAGGGGTGGGATGGGGTTGGATGGTGGTGGATAATCTTGAGAGATGCTGGACTCTAGATCTGGCACCTAGTCTCTCCCCACTCCTATTTTAGGATGGGGATGCCTGTGCCTTTTCTCTCATACAACAAAGCAGCTCAGTGAAGCCATTTGTAGATGGGGGAGACAGGATAGGACTCACTCAAGTGATTGTTTTCCTGCCTCTGATATCACAGAGACGAAGGTGCCAATTTTGTGGTTTAAAAAAAAAAGTATGTAGTGAGAGTTCCCAAAAATAGGGAGTTGGAGAGAAGCATCCTATCCTATATTGAGCCTTAGGGCACTCAAAGAGTTCCCTTAAGTCAGAGGTTTTTTTTGGTGAGGCAATGAGGTTAAGTGACTTGCCCAGGGTCCCACAGCTAGTAAGTATCACGTGTCTGAGGCTGGATTTGAACTCAGGTCCTCCTGACTCCAAGGCTGGTGCTCTATCCACTGCGCCACCCAGCTGCCCCCAGAGATTTTTTTTTTTGAGTAGTACATAGGAAGCAAAAGTGATTGGGGAGGGGATCTGGACCCTTTTAAGAAATAGTGGTATTAGTCCTGCAATGGAGATGAAGTAATAATCTGGAGGAGGGTAACTGACTGAGAGAGGTCAGCTGCAGATACAAGAACATTGTGTTCACTTTGATGGATTCAGATTCCTGTAGCCACAAGGCAGAGATAACAGAGACAAAGAGCTCAGGAAAACAAGCCAAGTGAGGCTTTGACTAGGAGATGTTAAGTCAATCTACTGGGAAGGGAATGTGGTACTAATTGGGGGCGTAGGTGTTAGGGAAAGGAGGAGAAGATGTTAATTTAACCAACAGTTCAATTAACAAATATTCTTAGTGCTGCTAAATTAGGAGATGGACATACAAAGATGAATAACAACACAGTCCCTGTTCTCAGAGAGATTGCAGTCTAGTAAGAAGATGATATATGCAGACAAGCCACTACAATACAAGTTAGAAAATTAGTAGATGCATACCAGAGACCAAAATAGCTTGAGAATTTCGAAGAGGACCCAATCTCTCGGGGTCGGGGCCAATCTAAGAAAGCTTCGTGGAAGAAGTGTCATCTTTCTGGATTACCAGCCAAACTGGAGTAAACTTTTTTAAAATTTTTACATTAGTCATGTTGTAAGGAAGAATTAGAACCAATAGGAGGAACCACAAGAAAGAGGAAACGAAACAAAACAGAAGAAAAAAATAGCAAATAGTTTGCTTCCATCTGCATTCAAACTCCATAGTTCTTTCTCTGGATATGGATAGTGTTTTCCATCATGAGACTCTTGGAGATGCCTTAGATCCTTGCATTGCTGAGAAGGGCTAAGTCTACCAAAGTTAGTCATCACACAATGTGGCTGTTACTGTGTACAGTGCTCTCCTGGTTCTGCTCACTTCACTCAGCATCCATCCATACAAGTCTTTCCAGGTTTTTCTGAAGTCTGCTTGCTCATCATTTCTTATAGCACAATAGTATTCCATTACATTCATATACCACAGCTTGTTCAGGCATTCCCCAATTGATGTGTATCCTCTCAATTTCCAATTCTTTGGCACCACAAAAAGAGCTGCTATAAATATTTTTGTACACATGGGTTCTTTTCCCATTTTTATGATCTCTTTGGAATACAGCCCTAGAAGTGCTATTGCTGGGTCAAAGGGTATGCACATTTTTTATAGCCCTTTGGGCATAGTTCCAAATTGCTCTCCAAAATGGTTGGATCATTTCACAACTCCACCAACAATGCATTAGTGTTCCAATTTTCCTACATCTTCTCCAACATTTATCATTTACCTGTTTTGTCATGTTGGCCCATCTGATCATTGTGATGTGGTCCCTCAGAGTCATTTTGA